GGGCCTCGGAGACGGCCCAATTACCCGTCTGCCGAGGCCCTAAATTCCATCAGTAAGTAATCTGTCATGTTGAATTCCATCAGTCTGTAAACTATCAGAAATTCACCATTTTGAATTTCTGCCTGTGTGGACAATTACCTGAATCATCTTCTGTCTGATTGTATCGAACTTCTTTTTTCATCATAATCTGTATAAGAATTCCTCTGAAATCAAAAGCCAGCACTTATTATTGGCTGCACATGTTGACACTCAAATATCTAGCTGCCTTAAGCACGTTGTTCCTAAATGCACAATACTAGATTATCACCCAATGAAGCTGAAGGTTGGAAAATGTAACACAGATAAAAAGAAGTATTGGGCTGGTGTGCAGTTCCACATCTGTACTATCTCAGTATTTCATCTTAGAAACAATCTTCTGACTCAGATTCTAAAGATGCAAGGGAATAAGTCCAAAACATGTAGTTTCACTGTTGACATCTTCCTGTATCATTTGGACTCAACTTCCAGTTTTTGGAAAACTGTTGGGTGTTTTAGAGCTATATTTCCCACATCACCCTCCCCAGACTGAGATATTTTGAGAGATATAGTACAAATAACTTTTCCCAGTTCTGACATCCCCACACCATTGCTAGCCATTCAGATGAACCAGAAGAGTTTTTCAGGAGCTAAGCAAAGCAGTGGAGAACCAGGGAGTCTTGGAGATGTCTCTAACCATAGACATTGCTAAATCACACATTTCATCTGTGAAATGTCAGAGGGTAAGTATTAGAAAAGTGATTAATTTTGTGATTAATTAAGAGATGCTGAGAATACCATTATTTCAGATGGTTGACAATGTACTCTGAATGGATATAATCCTTTGTTTAACTGCTCTGATGTGGATCATGCACAATGGGTGAGGACAGAAGTTGCTTGTTTCTAGTGAACATTTGAAAAAGAAACTTGCATCACACAGCCTAACTCTTGTACTTATCTTATGATAGGTCTTTTCTTCTCCCATCAGGGACATTTATTACAGGACGAATCCTTTCTATATGAACTCTGCTTAATCAAACATTTATTTGAGAGGGTGAAAAAGTGAAAAATCTGCCAGATCTACTTAATGTCTTTATCATACAAGCACGCACACAACAACAACCCTGGAAAAAAAAACCTCTGCTTCACTATTATTCTAACCTCAAAACAGGTTTTGACAGACGAATAATACCTTCCCATGATGCTGACTTAAAGAATCCATGTTTTGCATTGTTGAGGAGCTTGGGTTAACCTCAGGATCTCACTCAGAGAACTTCTCATTAATTCACTTTTGGGGAGCAAAATAACCTTTTCTATAGTCTGTCAATTGCTTTGCCATTCAAAGCCTGAGCCAAGCTTCACAGATCTGAGCATCAATGTAAAAAAAAAAAAAAAAAAAAAAAAAAAGAGGTGGAGGGGAGGGGGAGAGAGAGAAAGAGATCTGATTTCCCATTCCATTTGTATTCAGTTTCTTTCTTATTCTTTGTGTAGTTTCTTGGAGAATTTCTGGGGCTCAAGCAGAGGGGCTGGCAATGTGCCAGAGTTTCACTCCAGGAACCTAAAGCTGGAATCTTTAATACTTGAACCAAAACTCTAAGCACTGAGAAAAGGGAGTACTGACAGGGAGGGAGACAAGAGGAGAGAAAGAAAGAAAAGAGATGGTGTTTTGTCTCAGGGCAAATCTCCATTTTTGGTTATTCCAACATGCTCAGAAGGTTACTATTTGCATCTCATGAATATTTCTAAATAATATTTCACCCAGCAATTTTGCCCTTGCTTCCTGCCGATGTCATATCTGTGAGCAGAATGAAATATTATATATGGACTTAATGCCTGCATAAAAGAATCTGGCAAGTCTTGCTAACTGTTCACTAGGGATGCTCCAGCAAACCCTTGGGAATTGATTGTAAAAAAGAGAAAGGCTTTGAATGGTGCGGTAGCATTTTTAATCTTTGTTTTAAAGTAATATTTTAAATGGTTATTGTTAGTTTAATACCACTTACTTTGGTCTGTTTTTAGCTAGTCTGCTTTTAATTTGCCTTTTGTAAGTGGCCTTGAGTTCCCAGTCTGGGAGAAAAGAGGGATATAAATAAATGGATGGATTTCATCCAGTCTGCATTATTTAGGAAACTGACTGGACTCACACTTTCCAGATTAATATGTAGATCAGAAGGCAGCTGCCCTTTGGGGTTTAAACATCTCTGGATTCTCTGATACAGTTCTTTGCTCAATCAGCATACCTAAATGTATACAAAAATATGCACATTAAGATAAAATATGTACAAGAAGGCATATTTTATAACAGGGTGGAGAAGTACGGCACGTGGGATGCATGTAGCCCAACCCATCTCTGTGGTCCCTCCAAGACCTTCAGGAAAACGTTGAAGTCTCCAGACACCCTTCACAAACATTTTTTCTCAGCAGTGTTTTTGTTGCAAAACAACTCCAGACATTACAAAAACACCTGAAAATGTGGCATTTTTTTTTTGTTTCATTCAACCCTCATGACTTCCCTGCACAGCTGCAAATAAACTGAAATAGAAACCAGAAATCACATCACTTCTAGTATGGTAAAATGCATGTACATGCCCTGCTTGGGTGAGGGAGTTATGGGGCAAATATAGACTGCCTCCACATGCAGTTGCCCACTCCTGCTTAAGTGCAATATGCTTATGAAAATGTGATTCTGCAGATTAAATAGCACAAATAGTATGTATTTACATGCAGGGATTTTTTTTAAAAAAAAAATTGCAGATGAAGCAGATATGGGACAAATGGAAAGGTGATCTTTTGGCACTACAGGTGTCTGGGGAAATTCAGTGAAACTGACATGATAAAAATCAGACTGGTCCATTCAATATATTTGCTGCACACTGCAACTACAGTCAGCCCTTCATATCCACAGATTGTTTAGCCACAAATTTAACTATTCTTATGCAATGATTCCAAGACACTGGTCCTCCAGGTGTTTTAGACTTCAGCTCCCAAAATCTTCAGCCATCTTGGCCAATGGTCTGAGATTCTGGGACCAAAAGTCCAAAACACCTGGAAGGCTCAAGTTTGGAAATACTGATCCACAACCTGAAAATATTCCAAAAAGATATAAATTTCAGAAAACAAACTTTGATTTTGCTATTTTATATAAAGGACACCACTTCACTATGCCATTGTATTTCATGGGACTTGAACATTACAGATTTTGGTATCCACAGGGGCTCCTAGAACCAAACTCTAGCAGATACCAAGGGCCCACTGTATATTGGTTACATCAGTATAAGGAACCTGTTGGTTTTTTTTTTAAAAAGCCCAAGTTGAATTATTCCTTTAAAAAAGGCCGGCTGCTCTGAGGGCAACCTCGGGAGGAGGAAGGGGCGCCGAGCGTGCGGCTGCCCCTCCTCTTCCTTGCCTCGAGGACGGTGCAATTAGCCGTCTGCCGAGGCCCATAGTCTCAAAGGGGCCACAAGATCCCTCTGCATACTTATATTTGCTGT